CTGTTTTTCTTAGCCATTATGTAGGGGAGTGGGCATTGGACCCAGGAATTTTATAAAATATCGAAATTAAAATCCTAATTAAGAAACGACATGACAGTTGTATTCTACAGATATTAAGGTAAGCAGATCATTAAAAGGTTACGGCTACTTGAAAACATAGTTAATTCTACTCCTACAAACTAAACAGTATATTCTGTAGGTACAGTCGACGGTGTTTATCAGGTCGGCGTTATGATCACTTGCAGATGTTGCCCACCAGTTGTCGAATATTATTTGGACAAAGACAACAGTTCCTATAAATTCCAAACAGTACATGAAAATTAAAATGGCAAGTAGACAGTTGAAGAGTGTGAGAAATCGAAACTTGGACAAAGATGCTCATCTCTGAAATCATGTGAAAAAATTATTCATAAAACGAAGATTCCAGCTGAAACAAAAGATTTACAAAATGTTTCTTATTTTTGTACTGACCAAGAAGCGTGCAAAATCGTCAATCTGGACTCTACAGACACTTACCCAGTAAATGCCAGACAGGTGTTACTAAAAGAAAATAGATGAAATAATGAATTCTTACTGAAATTCAAAACAGGTACTACTTGAAACAAACACCAAAAGCTGTGAAGAAATGTGCCCCTAACAAGAATAACTCACAATGAAGTCCATCTACGGGCTGAAATCATAAAAGTGAGCAATAAAACTTACTTTCTTGTTAAAGTTAACGCCGATAATGAAACACTCGAATTCTTTTGGCTTGCTTCAGAGTGTAAAGCTGCAGTTTACGGTCTCTGTGCAGTCTCAGCTAATTTGGTGATCACATAAGGTTTTACAAAGCATCTTGCGAATCTTGCTGCTTGGTTAATTATGGTGATTTTTTAGGAGATGGTGGATTTCGACGATTACACGAGATACGTTGTATATAAACGCAAGTGTTTGTCTTCCAACTCCTAAAGTACCTATTAACTGAGATCAGAGACGAATAAAAATCACTAATTAGTCGTCTTATATATATATATATATATATATATATATATATACCATACCAGACTGTGGTCACCATGCATCATAATACGAAACCTTATTTCTAAACACCACTTTTTCCGAAACCAAAGTCCATCTTATATTTTTGAGAGTGATAGTGCCTAGTGGCAGAATTTTACGACTAATGTGTAAATCATTTTAAAAATCCAAGTAACTTACCAAATCCGATCAACCAGATCTATGCGGAATAGGTCATTTTTTTTATTCCTTTAACTTCCCAGTAGAACATAGGGCTTCTAGCTAGAGGCTTGAAGTTTCTGTAGCAGTTGTGTTTATTTTTACGGGAAGAGGTTGCTAGCCTCACGCCCAGCCTACCCTCTTTGCCAGTTTTATTACTGTTTTAACGCGGTAAAGGAGTGCGTCAGCCAGGGATCAAACCCAGAACCACATGCGTGGTTGACCAGTATCTTACCGCTGTGCCACCAATGCATCTAGAATGTGTTATTGAATGACAGAAAAAATTTAAGCTATAAAATTAATTAGAAATACAGTCGACATCATATGTCAGATATTCCATCTACTTTATGAACACCAACCACCAGTTAAATCACACGATTTATCTCCACTGAGTTCATTGCAGAAGAATAAATTAAACCATAACTTCTACACAAAAAGTGTGGTAGTAGTGATAGATGTAGGTTCAAAAATGAAACAGAATTCTCTGGAACATGACACCAGTATGAATCAGCGGTTGAAATCTACCTAATTTCTGAATCATTGGGAGGGAATCCATCAGCTGCCAATTATTCAGAAACCAAAACAGAGTCAGAATCTTTGGCATCAAGTCAATAATTGTCATGCGCTTCCTAAGTGTAGAAATTAATGATTTTAAAGTGTGTCAAATTCAAATTACGTTCGGTCCATTTAACACTGAAGATCGCCAAATATTCCGACCAGATGTTCATGTAGCTTCAAAATATTCCAAGATTTTATGAAGTATTAAGTCATCTGGCTTGCTGATTACAAACATATCATGGCGTAATGAAGATGACATCGATTACTATGCTACAGCACATCCACGTTTTCACATTCTAATATTTGCTAACGCTGTACACGTTCAACGACGAACAACGCTGTATTAAGAAACACGAGTGAAAACTTGAAAAGATGTATTGTTAACGAAATCGAATTTCAAAAAGCGCAAATTGAACGAAAAAGTGCATAACCGCGTAAAATACACACAACAAACGAAAACCGATATTCAATAATACAATGACAAATATTCAACAAGCATAAGTAAAATTAGTTTCTGTAGGCGTATAACATGCGTAAATGAATTATTTTTATAAGCGTACAGTTAGGCTTAATATAGGGATGCTACAATATTCGCTTGCCTAAATCAATGAAAAACTAACCTCAGATTAATTTATGAAGTGCTTTTTAACTGAAGTTCACAACAATGCCAAATCATTACATGATAAAAATTTTCGGATATACAATTATTTAAGGTGCATCTCGAAAAAGTTTCTCTACTAACCTACCTCACAGTCTTGACAGTGTTATACATATTTATCTTAATTACACAGTTCTGCACTTTTTAGTCAGTCAGCCTCATGTATGAGACTGGCGTTTTCAGACCATGGAGATGGCTTACATTTCACATGATACACTGCAGTAGGGGAAAAAACTTTTCATGAATAGAGAGTCTTGTACTGTGTCCAGTGTTCACCAGTTTCAAAATACTCTTCATAAAATTACTTCGCGAAATGTTTCTATCTATTTACAGTTTTTAAAATAAATTTAAACATTTCTTTATGAATCAGTGTAAATGAGCAGTCACTTTTTTCAAAATATTACAAAATTCTTCCTGCCCATTAACAAAAACTTGTTAAACGTTGTAGGTATGATTAATATTGAACAGATAGTATTAATCACTATATTATATGTCACAAATAAATACTCTTACAACTCAGTATGCTTAATTTTAATTCGTCAGTTGGTAAGTAACAAAAACAGAACGTTAAGGCGATGGAAATTATGCAACATAAAGTGACAGAATACGTCGAGATGAAGGTGATAAAGGTGAAATGAAGAAATCAAGTTTGCATGACAACTAAGGTATTTATGTCACTGTAATTGACTATCAGACGTTTCACTTCGGTCTTTCAACTATTCATTTTGCATGTTTCTGGGCTGAATGTACAAGTAATCGATAATATTCTGATAAATAGTAAATGGAATAGAGGAATAGTACTATATCTTGGTCAGTCTACTATCGACTTTTCTCCAAATTAATCCAACTTTGGTCAACATGTTATTTTACGTTAGACGATGGGCAGGCATATATTATGAAGTTATCTCCACATCATATCAGACAGCAGTCATTTATTCTTCTGTCAACTGTCTTATTTCAAGTACTAATCTTAATCGCCGTATTGCTCATTTATTTATTGTACCAAAGGTAGGAGACGTCACCAATGAAATACATAGAGCTTTTACAGATCTCCCATTAATGATGGAATACAAAAACTAAATCGGTCAATAGCACATTAAAATTTTAAGGGATGATGTGATACTTAGTATAATCAATAAGTCATAAGTTGAAGTAACCCATTTTAATAGTGGTGAGATTCTGTCCACCAGTGTGACTTTCCAACTATGTGAGATGACTAGTCATTAGAACCCAATATCCTGCTTGTACTTAGAAGGTCTTCTTTTACTGAATTTCCTATTTATCTCTTATCCGTTAATTTTTGTTTATCACTAGTATTTATAACTAAAAAGTATGAAAAAATCTAGTCAACTAACTGTAGGTTAAAACAATTAGAAGAAAAAAATTATTCCAATACATTCAAAAAATAAGATTGATCATATGCTCACACAAGCAAAATTAATGATCACAAACTCACAGAATGAATTCATTAAGAAACCAACAAGATTGGGATAAAAGTTCGTGTTTACTCATATGGATGACTAAACTGAATTTTGATTACATTGATTAGTCATCCATATGAGTGATTTCAACTTACTGAGCAAGTTTCCAGCTTTATGAACTATAACCTTCTTGAGTTGCTATGTAAACCTACAAGGCAATACTGTTTATTAGATTTTTCTGTTTTCTATCTTTTCCTTCCCCCCTCCCCTTTTCTATTTTGAAAGCATATAAATTGACGGTAACTTAAACTAAAAATTGTAATGCTGATATTTCAGATGCCTTGATTTTACAATGTTTCCTTTACTACCATTGAAACATTGAAGTATGAAATGTTATTATTTATAATCAGTGTAATTTCAGGTGGTTTGCAGCTGATGAGAACCTGTGAAATAGAATGATGAAATCATTTCATACTTATCAAGGGAATTAAATGTATGAAATTTTTGAAATGACCCCTAAAAATTGTTTCTTAAATGAAATAAGATCCATTGTAGGCAAACTAATAAAAATAAAATCAATGCTTTCCAGTAATACTGAAAAATCTTCATTTATAGATGAAGATGAAAGATGTTGAGTATTTTTCAGGCTTTACTATTTATCTGTAGACCTTTTCACAAGTAACGGCTATCCGTGGAATTTCGTCATCAATTTAAATAGTTTTATCATTAATTGGATTATATACAGAGGCACGACGAGAATCGAATAAGTGCAATTGGTTGATTACTCTGTCAGTGATTCACACTTTGCTCAACACGTTTGAAAAATCAATAAAATTATGTCGAACAAAACCGAATAAATAGTTCAACACACAATCTTCAGGCAGTTGTGAAAGCTAATTTCAAGTAATTAACTTATGACAATTTCAATACACTAAGTTTAATCAAATTAATTTTATCAATATTGCTAACTTAATCAGATTAACAGTCACTAATTAGCTGTCCTGAAAATAAATCACTTATATATATGGCATGTTTTAATCTTATTTATTGATAGGTAGTGATTGCCACGTATTCTATTCACTCGATATAACATAAATTATTGTATATAAAAAGAAAAAGACGTTAACATTTTTGTTTTCTTTATCAAAATGGGCCATTTACCCAGTGAACCAGGCTATGATACTTTTGCGCTGGATTTTCTGGAGACATCAGCATCCGGTAAGTTCACAGGATTCATTGAGAATTTTTACTCACTAATGATAAGCATCTTTTGAAACCTGAGCTATGCATTTGTCTGTTCAGTTAATTATATAGCCTTGTGGGGCTTATGTAAATTGTCTGTTTCATAACTTAAATAATCACACAAGCTATCGTGAATAGTAGAGTGAATGCCACAATAGATATTCCAGTTGCACAGAAATGCTTATAAAACACCTTTAAAATATGTCGTGAATTGGCAGAAGTTAGAATTCATGGGCCACTGGATCGGGTCCCAGTGGCTTAATGGTATACGAGCTCGCCTTGTAACCAGAAGGTCCTGGGTTTGAATCCCGGTGGGTGCGTACTGATGAAGAGTCACAAACTAGGACGAAACAGCTGTCCAGTACTCCCAGATTTTCCAATGGTTCTCTAACTAATGTCAGCTCATGATGAAAATCCTGTAACCAATCAAATACCTACAAACCAATACTTGAATACCTTTAAAATAGTCAGACACAACATCTGATATGATCAAAGCACTCCTGTAAACACATAATAGAAAATCACATAAGACCAACTACCTGAAAAAATTCATAGCACAACTGACCGCCTCTGTTCTAACTATTCAGACATATTTAAGAGAAAGCACAGCAAGTTTATTTTGCTATAACTTGTATATCCACTCCGAGAGTAGGGCTAACTGTACATGTAGAGTTCAAGGATGTATAAATCGAGATTATGGAAAACGTCCCTTATATTATTATTATTATCATTATAGCTTGACTCCAATCAGTATTTTTGATACAAGTATGGAATTTTCAGCATGTGATATCGGTAGTCCAAATTTAGCAGGCTGACCGTGGACATCAGGTGCACGTCGGCCGAGGATCTAACCCTGGACCATGTGCATGGTCGGCAAGCGTCCTAACCGCTGTGCCACCGACGCATGTGTCCGGCATGACAATATGGAGCTGGACTGATTCATAACTAGTAATACTAAATAAGTGGCAACTTTAGTACACGTGAATACTGCGAACAAAAGATAAAAATATGTAGATGCTAAATGGCTGAAGACTACGAGAACCATTTTTTGCGCTAAGTTTTGGACTAATAACTGCCAGGCGAACTTGAAACGCTGCTTTTAAAGTCATTCGCATATGTAAGTGGTGGCACAGTGGACGAAAATCAATTATATATATGTCTCGGTGCACCGTGATGGTGAGTCACAGTGGAAAATTGACTGACAGAATTCAGTCTGAACCAAACAAAGGGTTACTACCTAGCATCCGACCAAGTCCTAGTACTCTCCTAAGATGTCCGATGCTTACGAATACTTATGAGAAAAATAATTTTATGCTGAAGAAGTGAAATATTATCTTATATTTTCATACCAAGTGAAATAGACCGTTGAAGCTAACAATAAAATGAACACTTAGGCAGGATGAGTTAGACTCAAAGCAGATTTCAAGATTTTGAAATATTCAAAGTTCTTAAACATCTCCACACTTTTATTCCATGTATTCTTAGTATGATCTTCATCAAATGAAATGTCAGTCAATCTCTCTGTGTTTATTAGGTAGAAAAGTGATACCACAATGACAAAAAAGGACTTGTCATTTATCCAACAGTAATAAGCGAAATAAGTATACATGTATGTATACTACTCAACTAATGTTTGGTGAAAGTTCATGCATTAGGCAGCTGAGATTTTCGTACACTTGTAAATGATGAACTTGATATGATTACGAGCAATAGTTTATGCTCGAAACGTCATCAATTAATATTACTGTACAACACTGTGTGATTTATCAAAATTAAATCTTATCCATAATGGAGTTATGCTCTACCACAGTGCCCAAGTTTTATACCTATACTTGTAAATGCAGTAAGCACATAAACTGTTTATTACCGGGTGATATACAATTTGCAGATCTTGCAGCCATGTGGATCTTATGATATATAATTACATGTTGAATAATCCACTTTACATAGTTTGTATACTCTTTAACAAAAAATTGTTTTCATTCCAAGCAAAACACTTCTCCTTGTAATTACTTCCACGAAGAGATGTGGAGAATTTAAACATAATTATTCGGTGGCTTTCCAAATGACTTTGAATATCTGTATTCCTCTTTTTAATGCTAACGTCAAATCAATACCTCTATATGGTTCTGAAACTTGGCGTGTCACTGAAAGCACATTCAGCAGGTTACTACAGAATTTCATTAACAGCTGTATTTTCTCAATACTGAAGATAGAATGGCCGGGTAAAAGGGATAACCAAAAGGAGTTTTGACAGTGCAGCTAACAAATATACTACAGGAAATGGAGACGGGTTGAACATATGCTAAAGAGAACTTCAGTTGATATCCTAACCCAGGCCTTCAAGTGTAACCTGAATGGGCAGCAACTAGTGAGACATCAGAGTGGAATATGCAGAAGATAACGTGAGGAAGAAATGAAAGCTTTTGGGTAGTTCGGAAGCCAAATGGAAATAATGGTATGGAGATGTGCTACTGAAGTCATATGTTTCACTCGGAATGCAAGGAATTTACACGAATAGTTTTACTACATTTACTTCATCTGTCATTGCAGGTTAATAAGAAAGCAGTTATGAATAGGCTTCATGTGAAAAAACCCAGTTTAATTCTCTTTTTTAAAACTAAATAAATAATAGTGTAGGTCAAGTTTGTAAATGCTTTTACTATTAATGATCATAACCGAGTTTTATGAACTGAATTTAGTCATGTGCCTCGATATCTTGCTTTTCAGCTACAGATTATCCACAGTAATGTACCCAGTTACAGCAGCAATTACTTCAGATATGGGGAAATCATTAATGCACCTACATTTGCATAGTAGATAAATTAACTTCATATACTGCCTGACATTCCTCATTATTGAATGGCCGCTTGTGCTTCTTATTATTGTCCATCCCTTTACACTGTGTACTGTATGAATATCATACCTGTTGTTGGGATCAACCTGCATTTATAATCATAGGAAACATTTACATACAGACAGCTTAAATGTACTAAAACAAACATTCATTGCCACAAGTTTCAGACAATTTTGAAACTTACCTCAAAGTTGTCTGTTACATAAAACTGCCTAATTACTCATAATCTCGACAGGAAACGATCTGAATCTTAGAAGTGTTGTAGATGCTTAGTGCTGTAACATATTTTCATACCATTGAGGGAAGTAGTCTCATCAGCTAAATTTGATGCTGTGACATTGTATACTACTTATAAGTAGACGTAAGTAATATATAGGGTGGTGTCTTCGGCAAAGCAGTAATAGTTCGTCTCACTGAAAAAGCTACTGAAGAATAAACGCAAAAAGAAAGTAACAAAACTGGGAGGAATCTAATAAGCAACAGACGACTACGAATAAAACATGTACAATACAGAATGAATAGTATCACTTGTAAATTGTGAAATCAGTGTAAGATTTATGGCTTTCTTGATGTTCTTTGTACTTTGTCCCATTCAGGAGTAGTTCTCTCCGCACCAATCTTGTTCTGTTCAACAGATTTTGGAAGGTTGTTTATTAGTTCATACTTTCTATTAGTTAGTTAATCACGTATAAACAAATTGATGGAGATTGTCTTGAAATGAATTTAGTTAGGCAGTGGCAGGTTGAGCAGACTGCATAGACAATATTCAAACTTTCAACTCGTTTGGTAATTTATTTAATAAATTGAAACCCAAAAATAATGAGATCTGGCTAAAGCGTTTAAGGCCACTGTTTTTAAACATTTTACCTCAGGAAGAATGTCGCTACACATTAATCTTGACAACGTCAATCACATCTTGAAAATTAGCAATTTCCCGCTTTAGTTAATGTATGTTATTTGACATAATTTGGTACACCTTATGGTGAATTATCAGAAGGCTACTTAGTTTTTGATTACGTTATAAACTAAATAGCTCTCCAGAAGATCATTTTTCATTGGAGAAAAAACTATCAATTCAGTATATGAAATAACCAGATACAAATTAATCTTCAGTAACAAAAGTGAGTGCTCAAATACTGAGAACTGGTCTTAAAAATATAGCCGATAAATGAAATATTTTGGAAATATGTTTATACTGATATATTCTGGTTAATACAAAAATGAATGATTCAAATTTTCACTCTTTCCATCCCTTTAGGTACTAATGATTACTTATCATCTCCGATGAGTGTGTTTCTACTACTCACCACCCTTCTTGGTTCAGGAGGAACCAAGGGTAATACAAAGTTGCAAATAGCTAATGCTGTTGGAGTTTACGAAGAAAAAGGAAAACAAAAAGCCGCGTCAAAGATTTTCAATTCAATATACAAGAATTTGACAGAAGAAAAAGCTAGTGGAGAAAATATCATCACTATAGGAAACGGAATGTTTGTAAAAGAAGGAGCTAAAGTGAAAGAAAAGTTTGTAACGACAATGAAAAGAAATTTCGACAGTGAAGTTGCTAATGTATGTAGATCTTCGATGTTTTGATATGTTTTTTTCCAAGACTGAAACTTTAGAAAATCCTCTAGCTGTTCATATGACTAACTGATCTATTTTCGTGACAGGCATACTTCTTCCCTTTGACGGTGACATACATATATATGTATATATTTGTAAGGCAGAAATTTGAAAGACCTGTCATACATCTACCTCACAAATGTATACTAAGCTTTGTGAAATAAACGGTACGAAAATTGCTCCAAGGATTCTGTCACTAGTGACAACCTTTCAAATAATATCAAACCGAGTGTATTGGGTTTTCGTTACAATCTTATCCAAGAAGTTTGCAAAGTTCCTTTATAGAAACAACAACAGTTATTTCACTCTGGTGTTTTTATCTGCCAACAGCTTTGACTCATATCCATCCCCTCGTACCATAGAGGTCTTTTCCCACAGCCTACACATTATCTAAAGAACATTTAAGGCCGTATGAAACAACAAATTAATTTTTATTTAAGATAACGTGAAGACTAATTTCATCTGATTTAAGTGTTTAGCTGGAAAGGCCGTTTTCTAAAGAAACAGAATTGCTTAAACAAATTTATTTTTTTATTTTTTATTATAGCTTGATTCCACACCACGTTTTTGTACAGGTACGGAATTTTTCAGCATGTGATATCGGTAGCCCAAATCTCGCAGACCAATCAACTGATATCAGGTGTGCGTCGGCCGGAGATCGAACCCTGGACCATGTGCGTGGTCGTCGAGAGTCCTAACCACTGTACCACCAACGCACCTGAAGTCCTAGCAGTATGGTAGTCAAACAAACTAGTAGTTTACGGATAATATCTAGGAGACAAAGAGTTATGTTGTTGGCTCCGAATCTGCGTATTAATTCTAACATTATTCACACACAAGGCTGTTTTGTACATTGTAAAAGCGATTTGTAGTTACACGTGTACAGATATCGAACATATTCATTCATACTGTGCAGATGTAAAAGAATTTTAGTGTTCACCAAATTTGACGCTGAGTCATCGTAGTGAATTGTAAGTTATAAGTGAAGTTCATTGCTTATTGCTGAGGATTTTGAGCAAAGCTATACAACAATATATTAGGGAGTAATGTATCTTATTAGCTAAACAGGCAGTGTCAAATGATGCAAACAGTGTGGTGAGTCATACACCATAAAACGTTTTCATGGGTTTATTCGTATACAACTAGAGATTGTGGAAATGACGACTAATAAAATACACGTCTGAATTTCAATCTCAGGTGGATTTCACTGCTCAAGAAAGTACTAGGAAAACTATCAATGCATGGGTTAGCAATAAAACAAATAAACTGATCCCTGAACTTTTCACAAAACCATTATCGACAGCCACTATTCTCGCTCTAATCAACACATTGTATTTCAAAGGTAAGTTATTTATGTTCATGGCTTTTAAAATAAAATGTTTTGTTATTTTGTAGTGTTGATTTTAATTGCTTACATGTAAAGCTTTGATTTTAGATGGTTAGAGGCAATTGGCAGGAAGTTTTGGACCTAAGTTTAGTGCTAGCTGGCACTCGTCAGCAAGGCGTATCTGTAACCTTGAAGGAATTCATGTCCCTTCTCAGATTCGACGCATTTTTATCTGAAGTCGCAAGTAATTAATTCAAAATTGATTGTGTACTTCAACTCACTGGAATACAAATGCATTACAATGAACAGAACATATATAGGGGAAGTTAAATTGTGTCAGCCACGTCAAAATAACCTAACAGTGACGTTGAACAATCAGTCAGAATCCAGATACGAAAAGGTCGCGAAATGGTTAAAAATGTATTAGAAAGTATTGCAAACATGATTTCACAGTGGATAATTATTTTTATGTCTTGTAGGAATGCCTCCCAGTTTCTTCAAAGATAATCCATAGAGAAACCATATCATACGCAACACATGTACTATTTTAGGTGGCTGTAGATCATGGCACTCTGACAGCTATCGATATTTCCGACTGAGTTCTTTAATCTACCTCAAAATCCTTAGATGGAGTTTCTGTGGATGCACGCATTCGTGTCCAAGAAATCGAAGAAGCGGCTTACACGCTGGTGAATATAACCCACTTTCCACTCGTCCATATATACATCGTTGTTACTGGCCTTTGCAAAATGTAATAGTACTTAAGGGGTAAGACATCCGACAGAAACAACTTAGATTTACAGAAAAAAGTATCTATTGAATGAGTAAAATGCTACATCTATACGTACAGTTTGTGAGGGTATGTCATAGTAACTCCAATCAATCAATCACTTCACACAGTAATCAAATATTCGATCTTAATCGAACTCATTCAGTAAACTGATAAAGACGGGTGTGTTTTGTTTTTGAATGGTCACTCGTAACGTTCCTCCGGTCTGATCAGTTGTTCAAAATTAGGTTTTGACAGTCGTTGACTGTGGCTGCCATAGTTCAACTTTGTCTTCAAGATGACTAAATTTACATCAATATGTGCATATACCCACATAAAACCTTTTCATTTATTTATCCGTCTGTTTCGATTGTGAATAAGCCTGACACTAGCATAAAACTGCCCTTGTCACCATTAAACCGTATAATGCAGTTACATTTAACAGTAACAGCACAGTGTCAGTACTCTTAATAGTCGCAGTATACACCTGATAATTAGATATCAGTTAACGACTAAGGCCAAATAGTGTAACTAGTTACACCATAAGGCCGTTTAAACATGCATATAATTTTGACTTACAGAACGTAATTTGTAGGCTGAATAGTCGATCTGGTTAGAACTCAGAGTTTCCAATAGGTGTAAAGCTACAGTCAATGGTGGGCATCCTCTTTTTATTCCTTTACGTTCCCAGTGGAACACAGGGCTTCAAACTGGAGGCTTGAAGTTTCTGTAGCAATGTTGATTATTTCTACAGGATGGGGTTGCTAGCCTCATGCCTAAACTTCCCTCTTTACCAGTCTTATTACTGGCTTACCAAGGTAAAGGACTACGTCGGCTGGGGATCGAACCCCAGACCACATTCGTGGCTGGCGAGCACTCTACCGCTGTGCCACCGACGCACGGTGGGCATCCTAGTGAGCGATTTCTCTCAACACTTAATTTAAAAATAGTGCGCTGTATCATACGAAATATTTAAGCAGCTTATTAAAATGCTGTTTTATATAGTAATGAGAACATCATTTTGCAAATCAATAACTAAGTGGTTTGCACGTGTATTAAAAATTCTCCGATAGGCAAAAGTTGATCACATACATTTCGGAAGGAATCTATATATCTGGCTGTGGTCTTGAGGTTACCTCAATTTGATAAAAATGTCACATGCTGCATGTTTCAAACAATCTCAGTTCATTACTTGACACCAGTTAGAATGCCTAGAGACTAGAAGTTAACACGTTTCTATCAGGTCTTTTGATTGTGTTCTAGAATACTACATATTTTAATGTTCACTGTGTACATTTAAATTCAAGTTTCTGTACAACTTTATTCTTCTAATGACAGGAAAGTGGAAAAAACCTTTTTCTAATCGTAGTACTGCTGTAAAGACTTTCAAACCATCCAATCAACCTATTATTAAAATATCAATGATGCATATCTCTGAGACGATTGAGTATGGAAAATTTGAACATTTTAATATTCATATGATCAGTAAACCGTTCACTGTAAGTAAAAATAAATATTTGTTAATTTTATTTTGTGCTACAACTGTAAAACCAATTAAATTATACAGACTAGTAAGCGCTTACACTAAATTAGATACAGAAGGATATTGCTGGGATATCTTCTAATGAGCTCGCCTTGTAACCAGAAGGTCCTGGGTTCGAATCCCGGTGGGTGCATACTGATGAAGAGTCCCAAACTAGGACGAAACAGCTATCCAGTACTCCCAGGTTTTCCAATGGTTCTCTAACTAATGTCAACTCATGATGAAAATCCTGTAACCAATCAAAACCCTACAAACCAACACTTGAATATCTTCTAATGAATTGGTAATCTTTAAATCGAGAAGAATAAGAAGCAGGATAGTGATCAACTACTTATTCTGAAGGGTAAAAAAATGAGACCAGTTGATTTATAGATTAAGAAGTTCAGCAAAGATATCTTTTCGGCGATTTCATTTTCAAAAGCTGTACAATCGCATTTAAATACATAATTTTACATGGAGACAATTCTTGTTTGATTCTACATAATTATGACAGCGAATAAAAGGTGATAATTATTTCCAACTAGATATGGTTATACGAGAGGCTTAGAAACAAAAATTACGCAGGATTAGAACGGATATCAAGTGTGTAAAAATGAGCATGGAAACAAAATTGAAATAATCATTTTCAACTTGAGATGGGAATCAGGAGGTGCGAATATAGATTACAAGAGCCTTAGAAATAAAATTACATGGAATTTAGCAAATTACAGGTGTGCAGAAAGTGAGCATGGAAACAAAATTGATATAATAGTTTTAGCTTAAAATGGAAGTTAGGAGGTGTGAATATAGATTATAAGAGCCTTAGAAACACAAAATAATTGCACAGGATTAAGATATAATTGCAAATTTTTTTCTTTAAACGGATTATAAATGTAAACAGGAAAAGCATGGAAACAAACTTAAAATAAATAATAATAATAATAATAATGGCTTTATTCCAAACAGTATTTGTGGTACAGGTATGGAATTTTCAGCGTTCATTACAGTATTGCATCTAATTACCTCATGAATTTTATAAGGATTTAAAAATAAAGCAACAACAACAAAAAGAAAAAGAGAAATAAAATAAAAAAGAACAGCATTACATTCACATATTTAAACAGTGCACCACAGGATACGATATATAAAATTAGTCTGTAATAGAATATATGAGCAGCAATATAATAGTAACAAAGAAAGGAGAACAAAAGCTAATGGGAACTATTTGTTAGAGTGCCGCAGTAAATTGATCATGTCATGCCTAACAGTTTTCTCATCACATAACAGCTGTGCCAGATAAGGTATTGTGGAGTTTTTATACTTGGTAGTCCTGGCATATAGCTTCCTATAGTTACTTCTAGTTCTACCAGATGATATGCAAGGAGAGAGCTGTGTATAGAGAGGATGCTCAGGGTCTGACAATATAGTATTCGCTAGTTTCTTACATGACATTATATGTCTATCCACTATGGTGTTAACCAGTTGGTTTAACGATATCCCACTTGCCCTACTAACAGCTTTTAGTGCCCTACGCAGCGAAGCAAAGTCTTTCTTAAGTAGTCCTGGAAAGATTAATGGGGAGCAGTAAAGAAGGATGGGTAGAATACAAGAGTTGACAAACTGAGAAAGTAAAGACTGCTTTATGCCAGACTGCCTAAACTTCCTAAGGTAGAACGTTAAGCGAAACATCTTTCTAGTCACTAGCAAGATGTGAGAGGACCAGGAAAGATCGGAGGAAATACTCAGTCCAAGGTACTTGACATCTGATGTAGTTTCAACCTCTATGCCGTCAATGATAGTGGGACCATGTGAGCTAGCTAGTTGTTGAAGGTTACTTTTTCGTCTGAAAGTAAAATTTACTACCTGACATTTAGACGGATTCAGCTTAAGACCGTTTGAAGAGGACCACTGACTAATTTCCGAGAGAAAGTTATTTAATATGGAACAGTCTGACTGAGAGTTGACAGGCATGGAGACAGAGAGGTCATCAGCATACTTGACAAAAGTGGCTACATCAGAATGGGGCAAGTCATGTAAGAAAAAAGAAAACAGAAAAGGAGAAAGAACGGCACCTTGAGGAACACCAGCTAAAGTAAGTGAGGTAGAGGAGGACTTTCCATTGTAGACAGTGTACTGCTTCCTATCAGAAAAGTAGGAATACAACCACTTATTTATCCAGCTCTCACTCTGTGTTGCAGCAAGCTTACTTAACAAGAGAGACCTAGGTACAGAGTCAAATGCAGATGTGTAATCAAGGAAGGCACACCGAACATATTTGGCTCCTCTATCTAAACTAGAGACTATATTATGATATAGAACTACAGCGGCATCTAGGGTACACCTACTATGTTTATAGGCAAACTGGTTGGGGTCGTTAAAAGGCTTTAAAGAGGGTTCAAGATTAAGTAAAATAAGTCTTTCCATAACTTTTAAAAAAGGTGAGGTAATAGCAATGGGTCTAAACTTGACAGTAGGTCCACTTGTTGATTTGGGCACTGGAACAACCTTGATATTTTTCCATGAGTCAGGAATAAAACTTTTGGAAAAAGATTCATTGAAAATGTCAGTTAATGGGTAACATAAGATGTCAGCACACTTCTTAAGGATAACAGCAGGAACTCCATCAGGACCAAGGGACTGGGTAGGTTTGAGAGATTGAAGACACTTGAGGACATCATTCGTGTTAAAACATGAAAAGCAGTCATTATTTATACTATTAGATTTGGGAATCATAACATCTGCAGGGATACATATGAAGGATTTATTTAGCATATCAACATCGACAGAAGTATCATTCATTATTTGCTTACCACCTGTGATTTCCTTTAATAGCTTCCACATATTAGATGAGGATTTACATGAAAGAAACTTCTGGTTATAGAGAGCATTTAATCTTTGTAATTCGGCTTTAATCAAAGTGTTTATTCTCTTAACACCAGATTTATTTTTCATTTTGTATAACCTCTCTTTTTGACGGCGAAGCTTTTTGAGTTGAGATGACGCGAAACGGTCGAACTTTAAGAAGATTGTCTCTTTAGGACAACAAACATCAAGACAGAAATTGAGATAATGTGTTATGTTACTAATTGTGTTGTCAAGAGCTTGTTCAGTAAACAGGTCCCAGTTTGTGTCTTTTAACATTGTCCTTAGATTCTGTATGTTATCATGTGAATAGCATCTGTGTTGTGTTTTCTTTCCAAGGTGGGAGAAGACCCTTTTGTGCAGCTTTCCATATACCTTGGGCAATACTCTTATGATGCAGTGATCAGAGTTAAGTAGTGGGGCTCTTTTCCGAGCTTCAAATATTCCTATGTCATTTGTGAACACAAGATCTAGAATATTATCCATTCGAGTCGGGAAGTTGACAATGTTTTTATAACTGGAAAAAAATGGGGTGAATCGAATGAAGACTGAGGGAGTAAGAATCACACACATAGCGAACGAAAAGGGATCGAAAAAAAAACAAAAAAAACAAAACAAAAACAAAAACAGAAACAAAAATGGAAGCTACGGTAACATACCGAACTAAGTCCATGGTAGTTGTAGAGGTTGAACTAATTTCTTTTGGACACACAGCTCCGGCTTCTCGATGCATATTGAGAGGGCTTCTGCAGTACAGAGAAGTCGGAAACAAACTGCTTTCGGTAGGTTTCTGTTGACCTTGTAAATTACTTTGAATGAATCAGTTGAGATGTTGTGGGAGGTATTGATCAGATGCTCAGTAATGGCACTTCTGATTGAACCGGTACCTCCTCTTTGCAGCCACGCTGGGTAGTGTTCTCTAACACGTTTTGAAAGGACGCGCATACAACGACCTATGTACCTTGCTCCGCACGAGCAGGTGAACTGGTAAATGCACGTTGAATTGGCCATATGCGACAGTTTGTCCTTCCCATTGCTCCGAAGAAGTGGGCGGCTAGAGAATGTCACTCTTAGAGTTGCTGCCGGAAAAGTCTTCTTCAGGGATTTGGAGATTCTCCTTTTAAGGATATCTGGCATCAGAAGTGCCATTACTGAGCATCTGATCAATACCTCCCACAACATCTCAACTGATTCATTCAAAGTAATTTACAAGGTCAACAGAAACCTACCGAAAGCAGTTTGTTTCCGACTTCTCTGTACTGCAGAAGCCCTCTCAATATGCATCGAGAAGCCGGAGCTGTGTGTCCAAAAGAAATTAGTTCAACCTCTACAACTACCATGGACTTAGTTCGGTATGTTACCGTAGCTTCCATTTTTGTTTCTGTTTTTGTTTTGTTTTTGTTTTGTTTTTTTTGTTTTTTTTTCGATCCCTTTTCGTTCGCTATGTGTGTGATTCTTACTCCCTCAGTCTTCATTCGATTCACCCCATTTTTTTCCAGTTATAAAAAACATTTATTTTAAGTTCGTTTCCATGCTTTTCCTGTTTACATTTATAATCCGTTTAAAGAAAAAAATTTGCAATTATATCTTAATCCTGTGCAATTATTTTGTGTTTCTAAGGCTCTTATAATCTATATTCACACCTCCTAACTTCCATTTTAAGCTAAAACTATTATATCAATTTTGTTTCCATGCTCACTTTCTGCACACCTGTAATTTGCTAAATTCCATGTAATTTTATTTCTAAGGCTCTTGTAATCTATATTCGCACCTCCTGATTCCCATCTCAAGTTGAAAATGATTATTTCAATTTTGTTTCCATGCTCATTTTTACACACTTGATATCCGTTCTAATCCTGCGTAATTTTTGTTTCTAAGCCTCTCGTATAACCATATCTAGTTGGAAATAATTATCACCTTTTATTCGCTGTCATAATTATGTAGAATCAAACAAGAATTGTCTCCATGTAAAATTATGTATTTAAATGCGATTGTACAGCTTTTGAAAATGAAATCGCCGAAAAGATATCTTTGCTGAACTTCTTAATCTATAAATCAACTGGTCTCATTTTTTTACCCTTCAGAATAAGTAGTTGATCACTATCCTGCTTCCAT